ACTAGCTAAAATTAGGGACGGCTAGCGCAGATGGCCCTCATGTAGCTTTACGCGAAATTCACAACAGACAAACTAATTTTTCTAAAATTAAATTTGAAATACACGAAACTCGTGTTTAGTGTCATTTCCACGTCACTGAGTTGTACACTAGGTTCTGTACTATTTTCGTATCAGAAGAGTTTAGTTGCGGCTACGTGACCAACTCAGCCTCATCATTACCACTCATTATATAAGCAGTTCTTCAACGTCAATATATATGTTTATTTTAATATAACACAATACTACCAACGATGTCGTAATATAATAGTTAATTAGTGCAAAGCTACGTGCTAGGCTATATCTGCACTCTGTCCACCACGGGGAATCGAACCCCGAACTGTAATGTTGTCAGTCCGTAAAACTTATTATTTAATTTCGGAAGTGCATATTGGGGCCTAGAAGACATTTTTCTTTGTGTTTGTTTGTTTGTTTGAAGTTAAGCACAAAGCTACACAATGGGATATCTGTACTCTGCCCACCACGGGCATCGAAACCCGGTTTCTAGCGTTGTAACTTCGCAGACATACCGCTGTGCTACTGGGGGATTTTCTTTGTGTTTCAATGGAACGCTCCTGAAGAAGCTGTAAAGAAAAATGTTGAGTGTCCAATGAAAGAAAAATAACAAATTTGTTGTTATAAGGTCGTTTATTTCATGTATTAAAAGTCCGTAAATTTAAGGCTGACGATAGTAATGCCAGAATGAAATATAATGTTTAATTCATTTGCAAAACAATTTGTAAAATTTGCGTAATGTTTATTTTTACAGATTTCTGAATGTCACGTAAATTTTGTGGGTCTAAAAATAGAAATATGTAAAACAACAACATAAAAAAATTCCGTTTATACCGTGAATTATCATCGTGGAGCTGTGTTTGTCAGTGCCAGCATGATTGGTGGCTGTGCACGTGTACAGTCCTCTGTGGTTAGGCTTCACAGATTTGAACAAGATAGTAGAAGAATAGTCCGCTAGGACGTGCACTTTCAGGTCTTCGGATTCCATCAGCAGATGCCCGTTTTTCAACCATTTCATTTTAATTGGCGGATCACCTTTAATTACAGTGCAGGAGATGCTCAGCCGCTGGTTGATGTGGACGGATTGGGGGAAATGAAATGGCTCTATTTGTGGCTTGACTGTGGAAAAAAAAATTATTAGCAACAAAATAAGTTACCTATGGAGACTTATGACTTGATGATAAATATATATATGTTGAAATATGGGATACACACATAAAAAACAACAACATTTAATCAATTTAAAGTAAATAGAAAAAACGCCTTTCATATCGTTCAAATTAGAATTAGAATTAAAACTGTAAATAACTTTTCCTGATTAACACACACACGTATATATATATATATATATTAATGAAATAAGTGTTTTTATAATTTTATTAAACTTTAATTTTTAAAAACTTTAATATTTTGCTCAACTTGGGACACAGAGGATTAAGTAATGTTACATAATATGAACACAGACTACAAGAACAATCAACAAGTAAATGATAAATACATGGAGTTGTATTAGCCACCTTACTTTACTAGCGACTACAGGCATCGGTTTTCAACAATATTTTAAAAGAGCCTCAAGATATTAAGATGGACCAACAAGTAAATGATAAATACATGGTATAGTATTAGCCACCTTACTTTACTGGCGACTACAGCCATCGATTTTCAACAATATTTTAAAAGAGCCTCAAGATATTAAAATGGACCAATTTTTTATGTTACGCTTTTTTAATACATATAGGAATAAATAAAAACTTACTGCGTATGAAAATAGCTACACTGCCTTCTGCAGTATTTCCTTCTTTATTACTAGCTCTGCAGGTGTACAAACCCTCGTCACCAGGACGTGTCATTGCTTCGATTACGAGAGTTCCGTTCGAGTAGACGGTCTGACGACGATGGTCTGGTAGTCTTACGCCATCTGAATGAAAAAGTATTAGCAGATATTAAAGCTGTGAACTTCAAAGAATGTATAAGCTTCATTCTGTAACAAAATATATTGGAAATGGTGTATTTTTTAAAGGTTTATTATGAATGACTCAGGAATAGAGACTACAGACTCAATTAGAGATACAAAGTAAATACAGGGCAAGTAAAAGTCTTATTTCTATGAACGACCTAAAAGTAATTACGAAAGAACGAAGACGTATCGTGTGTTTTTTAGGAATGATTTAAGGTACATCGTGCCCCCTAGTAGCACAACGGTATGTCTGCGGACTTACAACGCTAGAATCCGGGTTTCGATACCCGTGGTGGGCAGAGCACAGATAGCCCATTGTGTAGCTTTGTGCTTAATTACAAATAAACAATAAGGTACATCGTACAAGAAAAAAACTTACATGATTTACTATAATTGAGTCAGAGGTACAAAGTAAACAAAATATATATATATAGGAATTTGTAATGAAAGATTTAAATGTGAAATATAAAGCAATTAAATGTAGGAGGCTTATTATAGATGGCTGAGTAATATAAGATAATAGTTAGACTTTCGAACGAATAGGCTTAATTGCGCATTTAACATTTAATTGCAAGGTAGCACTAATTCCAACAAAAGAGGAAACCACGTGCATTAAAGAACATGGATTGTTCAGACGGTTTTCAGTAGACATGTAAGCCAAATATCAATAAGAAAATAACAGCAGTTTAAGTTATTCCAGAAAAAGCAAAGCCAAGAATAAAGTACCCTATAGAAAAAGTATAGGAGGTCTCACACCGCTAAAAACTGGGTTTCGATACCCGAGGTAGGCACAACACAGATAGCCCATTCTGTAGCTTTGTGCTTTACAACAAACAAAGAAATAAAAAGTATATTAAGAAGTAACCTTAGCTGGTAACCTTTCTGTTTGACCCGGCATGGCCAGGTGGTTAGGGCACTCGATTTGCCATTTTCCGGTCGCAGGTTCGAATCCCCGTCACACCCTTTCAGCCGTGGGGGCGTTATAAAGTGACGGTCAATCCCACTGTTCGTTGGTAAAAGAGTAGCCCAAGAGTTGGCGATGGGTGGTGATGGCTAGCTGCCTTCCCTCTAGTCTTACACTGCTAAATTAGGGACGGCTAGCGCAGATAGCCCTCGTGTAGCTTTGCGCGAAATCCATAACAAACAATTTTTCTATTTGATCACTTCAGCTTTTATAAGTAAAAAGGTAACTTACGTTTATGAAGAATGTGGTTCATACTAAACATATACATGCGTATAAATGTTCTGTGATGTTAATCACAATCGTAAGGGGAATGTTCTAAAAACTTATTTGTCTAGATCTGAAATTATTACAAAGTCATGTACATTATTCCTGTTATTTATAAAGCAGCACCAATTATTTGCCTAGGAATAATAACCTATCTCATTCTGGATTCTTATAATGCAACATCATTGTATTTACGACTGGATGTATTTGAAATCGCGAAATTGCATTATTCATTTGGTTAGATAAAATAACATATATTCTAGAGGTGAAACGGTGGTTTGTTTGTTTGTAGTTAAGCATAAAGCTGAACAATGGGCTATCTGCGCTCTGCCCACCACAGGTATCAAAACCCGGATTCTAGCGTTGTAAGTCCGCAGACATACGGCGGTAAAGTAAGATTGTTTTTTTCAAGATTAACTATTTATGTAGGCGTTTAAAAAAAAAACAATGTTTTTATTTTATCTGTGGCCATAATGGGCCGGTTTAGAATAATGCGCGTGAAATTGACGTCTCTGATCATCTTCTCTCACGAGAGAGCAAGTCATGATGTCAAACTTGCTTTGAGCGTTACAAAACGGAAATGTTCAGCTGATCACTTTGATAAACACGTTTCCTGAACCAACTCGTAAGTCCCCTCAACGTGATGATAACGCACTTTATGAGCCATTGGTTCCAGTACTTTACAAATTCCTCAGTAGTGCACAAAGAAAAGAAAGAAAATCACAACGTGGAAACTATCTCTAGATTAAACTTTTCCATCTCTTTGTTTAACGGCTGTATTTTTAGATTAAACTTTTCCATCTCTTTGTTTAACGGCTGTATTTTTAGATTAAACTTTTCCATCTCTTTGTTTAACGGCTGTATTTTTAGATTAAACTTTTCCATCTCTTTGTTTAACGACTGCATTTTTAGATTAAACTTTTCCATTTCTTTGTTTAACGGCTGTATTTTTAGATTAAACTTTTCAATCTCTTTGTTTAACGCTGTATCTCTAGATTAAACTTTTCCATCTCTTTGTTTAACGGCTGTATTTTTAGATTAAACTTTTCATTCTCTTTGTTTAACGGCTGTATTTTTTAGCCATCTTAGAGCATTGTGTTTATTATGAATGTTTGACCAAAGTTTATACATCTTTTTCCCAACACCGATGTCAACGTTGACGAATTATCTACGAGAATAAAACGTGGTTAAATATTTTGAAAATACTGAAAATAAAAATATAATGGGGACTTTCAAAAACAACAACCTCTTTCCCAAGTGATAGCATTGATCGGGTAACCACCAACTGGACATGTCAGAAGTAGCTTCTCTCCAGCAACAACGGTCAAGTTCTTCATAGGACGGATGAAGGGAGGTCCTGGAACTGTCAAGCGTCCACTGTGACGCACTAGTCCAGCTGCATTGCTAGCCCGACATTCGTAGTTTCCACCATGTTGAACCCTAGTTTCTGAGATATTCATGTAACTGACTACGGTGTTATGTCGAGTGACGTAGTCTCCAAGACGGAAGCCGAGGTTTTCGGGAATTGGTAAACCGTCCAGAGTCCAGGTGACCTGTGGTAGTGGACTTCCGGAAGCCACACACTTCAGCGACGTTTGTTGCCCTGGGATAGTAGTATGTGTTTCAAACTTTTCGAGAAAGACGGGAGGATTATCTGAAAAAACAAGAGATAAAAGTCAAATATTTGTAATTTAATATATTTGAAAAATTCAATTTCAAAAATCACCGGTTAGAAAGCAAAGTTAACTCGTTTGACAGTTGTGAACAGCCCCCCCCCCCAGTGGCACAGCGGTATGTCTGCGGACTTACAACGTTAGAAACCGAGTTTCGATACTTGTGGAGGGCAGAGCACAGATAGCCCATTGTGTAGCTTTGTGCTTAATTACAAACAAAGTTGTGAACAATATTGATGTAGCTAAACAGTTTTCCAGAGAGGGAAAATAATGAAAGGATCGCAATTTTTTTTTATAATAACTCTCTTTTTTTTAAGTCGTGCCGAACTAGTTTATATTTCTCATATGGTGTAAGTCAATTCTTGAGAATAATGGAATTTTTTTTAAGGGTGACGTTTTCAATTTACCTTGAATTGAACAGAATACTGTCGTGGGCAAATATCGCTCGAAAACATTTGATTTTTGTTGACTCAGTATTCTTAGGATTAGGATGCTTGAGTAGAAGAAATCATTTTACTGAATTACATTGAAGAAGTGCAATGGTAAGCACAAGGAAAATACAACTGGAAATTTTTAAATTATTTCCACTGACGAATCTTATAAAGCTCATAATCAAGGAAAAAAAACAATAATAACTGTCACTGGGATCCTACTAGCGACAAGGAGCGCCAATATATTTCACATTTTGACTACTGTAGCTTAACAAGCATTGTGTAATTCAGGATAGCACCACTGTTAACTGCCTTATTAACATAGCTGGAATAAATCGTTTTACTTTATTAAAAATTATGTAAATTTCATGTCATTCAGGCGTAACACCTTCATATCTGCTGCACCTATCTTATGTTAAAACTTGAAACGTTTGTACTTCTGACTATACCGGGCTGCACCAATCTTATGTTTAAACTTGAAACGTTTGTACTTCTGACTATACCGGGCGTAACACTTTCAATCTGCTGCACAATCTTATGTTTAAACTTGAAACGTTTGTACTTCTGACCATACCGGGCGTAACACCTTCATATCTGCTGCACCAATCTTATGTTTAAACTTGAAACGTTTGTACTTCTGACCATACCGGGCGTAATCTAATGGTTAGCGTGCTCGGACTGTGAATCCGAGGGTTCATGTTTTCACACACAAAAAAACGCTCTGTGCCTCATGTGTGCTACAAGAACAATTATTTAAATCCCATTATTCGGTCGGGTAAGACTAGCCCAAGAATTGGCGGTGGGCGCTGTTGACTGGCTGCCTTTTCTGTAGCTTATCGGTTCAAAATTAAAAACGACTCTTCACAGATGTGTAGCTTTTGCGCGAAAAGTATAAGAAAGCAAGTTTTTGATCGATACAAGTGCTTCTTTTATTCGCGGTGGTAAAAAAAAGGTGTTGTTGCTGCTAGGTAAAATGTTATGGTAGTTGCTTTAACAGACAAAGTTTTTAATTTCTGTAGTGGATATTGGTGTATAGAAGGCATATTAATACTAGAAATAAACGACCTTTTTATAACACCAAAATGTTGTTTTTATTTAGTTAGACACTCAAATCCCGATTAAAGTTATAGAACGACCAGGTACAACAATAAAAAAACAATCTTCAAAATCTCAGTACACTGCCTTACAATGTAATAAAGCCAACCTTCACAATCTCAGTACACTGCCTTACAATGTAATAAAGCCAACCTTCACAATCTCAGTACACTGCCTTACAATGTAATAAAGCCAACCTTCACAATTTCAGTACACTGCCTTACAATGTAATAAAGCCAACCTTCACAATTTCAGTACACTGCCTTACAATGTAATAAAGTCAACCTTCACAATCTCAGTACACTGCCTTACAATGTAATAAAGCCAACCTTCACAATTCCAGTACACTGCCTTACAATGTAATAAAGCCAACCTTCACAATTTCAGTACACTGCCTTACAATGTAATAAATCCAACCTTCACAATTTCAGTACACTGCCTTACAATGTAATAAAGCCAACCTTCACAATTTCAGTACACTGCCTTACAATGTAATAAAGCCAACTGTCTTACAAAACCTTGTTTGTAATCTAAAGATGAATGTCTTTACCAGCTTACATGTAAAATCTGCCATCATACATAGGAGAAACCAGAAGAACCTTACATACAAGGATAAGAGAACATGCGGACTCTCTTTATAAACAACAACATGAAAGAAGGTCAGTTGCAGATCATATTTTAACTAATCATGGACAAGTTACACGTGACTTGAAACCACCAATCTCCGTACATATCCTCACCAAAGGCACCAAGTACACTGACAGAAAATTCAAAGAAACTCTTCTTATCAAATAACTACAACCACAGATGAACAGGGACAAAGGATGGCGCCTATAATTTTAATTATCATATTTTTTAACCTATAATTTTGTTATTATTTTACTTTGTAACCTTCACAGAACTTTTGTTCATAACAGGTTGCAGTTAATTATTTCAACGATACTTTTCTTTCAACAATAAGCTTTAGTACTTAATATGCCAAAAGCACATTATAAACTTAATATGCTAGAGCACATTATAGATTCTATTATAATTTATCATTTAAACCATTTGAAGTTCTGTACTGTCAGTTTCGGTTTGTGTTATAGTGAACATCCCTGAATAAACTGTAAGGCAAAACGTTGAGTGTCTAATTAAATAAAAACAACATTTTGGTAATATAAAAAAGTCGTTTATTTCTAGACAAAGTTTGTATAGAATCATTACACTTATCAACTATCCATTACTAAGAAATAGACATTTAGCCGGCAAATTAACTTAAGCATAAACTTCCTCCAATGAGAAAGAAAAACGTCTGATATTTGGCGAAAACTTGTGATCTGGTAAATTGTAATTTGTGCAAATTGGGAATTTGTGGTTTAATGATTTCACGAACATGCTTTTGGCACGAGAAGTAATTAATACTGAATAAAATATATTCAGGTTATATTAAAAGGTTTACCTTAAAATATCAGTAGTCTGCAATACAGGAAAATATTAAGTTTAAAAGGCCCATATTTCTATATCTGTGCAACTTAATAAATGTTCTCTATCAGCAAAAACCGTCATTCAGCGATTGCAATTCCATTCATATTGTTGTTTCTATGTCGCTAATCTAATAGTTAGTATTGTTGCTTAACCGAATAAATGTAAATGAATTTGTGTTAGCAGAACATGTGGCGGAAACATGTGATGTTATAGACTGGAATAACACTAGGTTGATAAGTCAACATATCATATTATAGACTGGAGTAACACTAAGTTGATAAAACAGGTAGAATCCAAAATTAAATTAAATATCAGTGAAACTCTTGAAATCGAAAAACAGTAACAACAGAGATAGCGTATTAAACTAGGAAGGTGGCCCAGGTCTAGAAGTAATGAAGTACTGGACAGATGTTTTGTAACTCTGGGTAGTTTAAGCCTAGATGGCGTTATTGGTATGCCAATGATTATGTGGGTATATATGTCCTAATCATACTTCAACCATTACTCCTGAAGATGGTGTCATGGAACACTGAAACATGTGTAGAGTCTTTTAAGGGCAAGTCCATGTTTTAATAACTATTTATTGTGTAGTGATTTTAACGTTGTATTTCTTTTTATTATATACATAAAACTTTTGCATTCAATTGGTGCAATGGGGATTGAATTTCCTTATGCAAATTACGTATGAATTCGTACGGTCGCAGAAAAGTGTATAGTGGTGCACAGCTTTGATTTTTTAGTGGATTTTGGTTCCAACCATGATTAATGGACACAACAATGGAATTTCCTTGTTTACAAAATACTCCTCACTCATTGATCTACCCTAATCGGTCACAAAAGAAGCAGTACAGCATTTTATAGCCACCTGGTGGGAAAAGTGTAGAAACGATTTACGGAAATGGCTCGGTTTAGACGATGAATGTCATGATATTTCAGTTTCTAATACCCAGTTGAAGTCTGTGGGGTGCATTGATATTCCCTCAGACGTAGGATATCATACTACTTGCTATTCTTGATTCATTGACAAAAAGTTATTCGAATTGAATTAGAAAATGTGTTCCAAACGTTCACAGGAGAGCATGCTTGGGGTAGAGGAGGGTGGACATCACGAAGACGTTCATCACTCAACATCGCCATCTCCAAGGAAGAAACTACGGTCCAGACTTGCCATTCGATGTCATACCCTATCCCCACCGCTCCTAGCCATCTGTATCATTTGTGTGAAAGTGAATCCTTTCATTAAGAAACAACAACAACATAATACAGCAAAGGATGTGTTGGTTCAAACCCAGATTCTCGGTGCAAGTGCAACAGTTGTGACGTGACTTTTATTATTGCTGTTAAGAGAGTAGTTTCATATTTTTCTCAACTGTTTACTCATGTTTAACTACTTTCAAATAATGTTACTTTGTGAAAGAAGTTTCAATATTTAAACAATTTATTCATCAATCAAATATCAAAACGACTATATTTGTTCCAGGTCTGATGAAATATTTGGTAACCTATACTTACTTACTTACACGTCAATGATACTTCTTGTAAGAGTATTATAAACTCATTAGTCTTTACAATTAAAACTGGTAAATAACTGAATAAAGGTAACGAGTGTAAATATTTATGAATCCAACTCCATTAAATTTCATAGAGTCATCACTGAAAATTAATAAAGTTTGCCCTGATTGGCTCGTGAGACAGATTTCAGTGGCGCCCTCTTCAGTCTGCAGTAATGTGATAGGTATCAAATTGTATCTACAGAGAGCAGTGATGCGCAAACTTTTTTTTTTTGTATGGCGTGCCCCTTTTAAACATTATTTTTGTTGTGCCCTCCGCACCCCATACAGCCCATTTGTCATTTGTCCATGGTAATTGTTGTTACTATATTACTTAACAGCAGTAATATTTGTACGGTAGTTTTTAAAACTCCTTTATTTTTAATTGATATTTTCAGATGTAATTTATATAGTTATAGTTGTGCGCCTCCTTTGGGGAGCGCCCCCACAGTTTGCGCACCTCTGACATGGAGTACTTGTGATGTAGTTTATATGTACCAAGTTTTAGCCAAATAGCTTTAATAATGACTGAGTTTACAAGTCTAAAGTATAACGAAATGCATAATTATTATGAAAATTACACTTTCCTTTTTCGTTTCTATAAAAATTGTGATTAGTGGGTTTACTGAGAAGAAAATTATAGAATTTGTAGTCAGTATATATATATATATGTGTGTGTGTATATACATATGTGTGTGTATATATATATATATATGTGTGTGTGTATATATGTATATATATATGTGTGTGTATATATATATATGTGTGTGTGCGTATGTGTATATATATCTGTGTGTATGTATGTATATGTGTGTGTATGTATATATGTGTGCATGTGTATATGTGTGTATGTACATATATATGTGTATGTATGTATATGTGTGTATGTATGTATATATGTGTGCATGTGTATATGTGTGTGTATGTACATATATGTGTGTGTATGTATATATATGTGTGTATGTGTATGTATATATGTATGTATGTGTGTACATATGGATGTGTATGAATGTATCTAAAGTTTTTGCATTAAGCCACAAGTTTAAATAACATGTATTTTAGTCAAGTATCTTATACAATTTAATTAAACATTAATAATTAGGTTAGTTTTTCCATACATTACAAATAATGATGAAGAGAAGTATACGCAGAATATGTTGACCATATAGTTAAATGTTTACTGACTAAATCCACAACATGATATGAAGCTTAACAAACAATACATATATCTTATAAAGGTAGCAGTTACGTTTTTTAAAATAGATAGTAGTTTAGTTTTCTTATTACAGAATCTTCCATTCCGTCCACCCTAAGGAATCGAATCTCGCATTTTAGCGTTGTAAGTTTGTAAACTTACCTCTGACCCATCAGGAGACTTAATAAAAAAATATTACGAGATTTAAAGTTTTAAGTTATAATTAATAACCAGTGATTATTATTTTAAGTTAGAATTAATTAATATACATCGTCTACTTCCATATATAATAATTAAACAATTTATTTTGCTTTTAGCTCCTTAAATTAATTAGTTCTAACTATTAGTGCCCAGTGAATAAATTTTATTTCAAATACTCATATCTTTGGCTAGGAAATTTCCAATAATTTAAATTACTACTGACTAGCAAGGAAATAAATAATGAGAAGCAAGACTTGTTTAATCGACAGGTTGACAGTCTAGCTCAGTTCAAACACCATGTTAAAAATAATAAACACTTCTTTGTTTCAAATATAAACCAATGTCCCAAGTTAAAGTACTTAAAAGTTTAAAAATGTGACTTGTAGATCGTTATAAAGTGGTTAAAAAAACACACATGAAAGGTCTAGTGTTTTCGAAGAGAATTCTGATCTTCGTGGCCCGGCATAGCCAGGTTGTTAGGGCGCTCGACTCACAATCTGAGGGTCGCGGGTTCGAATCCCCGTCACACCAAACATGCTCGCCCTTTCAGCCGTGGGGGCGTTATAATGTGACGGTCAATCCCACTATTCGTTAGTAAAAGAGTAGCCCAAGAGTTGGCAGTGGGTGGTGATGGCTAGCTGCCTTCCCTCTAGTCTTACACTGCTAAATTAGGGACGGCTAGCGCAGATAGCCCTCGTGTAGCTTCGCGCGAAATGCAAAACAAACAAACTGCTCTTCGTTATGAACAAACGTTATGACAAAAGACCGGATACTAATCCTTCACTCGTCACGTGCCATCTATGAATAAGTGAAGCTTAATTTACAAAGGCAGCGCCATCTGCGGTTTAAACGCAAGAATCAAAGAACAAGAACAAAACATACACCAATAAACGTTTCAAAAGTATGATATCCCTGTAAACAAGTCCATTATAGGTAATTTATAAATCCAACGTAGAATAGGTTTTAGGAAATAAAAAAGCAGATATTCAGGAGCATCTCTTAGAATTTGTAAGCCAATCTCGACTCTTATATTCCCTTGTGAAAAGTTTAATACAATCTATAAAGTAACAAATAGCTTATGTTTCATGCCCTCTGGTGATAACTTCCATATACATTAATATATGTATAAAAGGGGTAACAAATAAGAAGACGCATAAGTGGGCGTAAGAGTCTCTCTTTGTATCACGTTACTTCAGTTAATGTTTTTATGAAAATATCTGCGCTTCTTCGACAATGGGGCTCTCGGAATCAAATATAACAGTCTTTAATAAGTTTAGAGGCGAAAACAGAAACACGTTTTAAACTAAATCAGTTCATATACCGGAGTCAGAAACGTTTTCACGAATTGCTACGAAAATTATAGCGAGTATGTTTAATTATTAATTATATCGAATGGTTAAAAAATAGAAAACAAAAAAGAGAATATTTACCTGCAATAACAACCTGGGCCAGTCCTTGGGCTGATTCCACTTCGTTATAAACAAAACACTGGTACATTCCTGCATCATGCCTGGCAACTGAAGAAATAAGAAGCCGGTTATTTTGAAGAATTCGAACTCTGCTATCCGCTTGGACTGGCTCAGCGTTTTTTAGCCACACAAGTGATTTTATTGGATATCCTGACGTATCACAAGTTAATGTTGCAGAAGCTTCGATGTCCACTTCTTGAAATGAAGGAAATATGGAGGCTCGAAGTGTTGCTATTGGAAACACAAAACAAAGTATAGGTTGCAATTTGAAGGTTTTTAATAGCACTTGATAAAACGTGGAAAACATGAGATCACTAAAGAAAATCGTCATTTTGGTCAAAACAGAAAAAAACAACAACAACAAGTTTACTATAGGAATGAGCATATGAGACTAAAGGAATTCTGGGTAAAGCAGATGTTACAAACAAACAACAAACAAATATAAACCTTACTGCTAAAATATAATAAGAAACAAGATAAAACCGATAAATTACAGCAACTGCTTAAGTTTGTTGCTTAAGCGCAGAGCTGCTTATTTATCTGAGCCCACCGCATGGATCAAATCCCCAGTTTTAGCGTTATAAACTCTCAAGTTTACCACTAAGCCACTGGGGGAGGGGGAATGGCTTAAGGTGAATCTATTTTAAAGAAGGTGGGATAAAAAAAGAAAAGAGTGACAGAAGAAGAACTAATTGATTGAACGTAAAAAAATCTTAATTAAACAAAAAAGTTAATTAAACACATAATAGTCGTTGTAAACATAAGTTGGTTGATCTAAACAGATGGAATTATGCGTATAGATACTGCAATTAGATTAAATAAACAGAAAAATAAATATAGATATTTCAAAGCTTGAGCTTGTACAAAAATAACAAATACACGTGTAAGAAGGAATGTTCCCTCTAATTTTTTTTTTAATTCCATGTGCGGAATGAACAAGTTATTAAATAATATATATATATATATATATATATATATTAATCAAAGCCAAAACATAATTTTGAACGAGAAGTAAAGGTCAGGGGTATAATCTAATTTTGACCGAGAACTAGAGGTCATTGGTATAATGTAATTTTGATCGAGAAGTAGAGGTCATTGGTATAATGTAATTTTGACCGAGAAGTAGAGGTCATTGGTATTATGTAATTTTGAACGAAAAGTAGAGGCCATAGGTATTATCTCTTTTTGTGTCTGATATTTACTTTTCTGTATTGTATCTTATGAAAATAGTGTCCTATTCACGTCACCAATAAACTACACATGTATAAGCAGCACCTAGAAACGAACCAGGTAACCAAGTGTGATTGAAAAGACTGAGGAAACAACGAAGAAAATGTGGAGATGCTACATATTGTTTGAGGAAAATAGTCTGATCTTATGTCAAGTTATTTTACATTTTTACTGAGAAATTGTCAAATGTTCTTTACATTACAAAGCTATACAACATCGTAGTCTCCTTCTACGCTTAATTTAGGCATTATTTCCATGCTTGGACGCGCGCGCGCAAACCCACCCACACACGTAATCGTTTGCTTCACAGAAATATGAAATTATAATTAAATATGTAAATGAGTTTGCTTCCCGAGTTTATAAAATCAAATCATAAACGTAGTTGCAAAATTTATAATATATCGCAGTATTGGTATTGCTGGGCTCTGTGTTGCTCGTTTGCTCTACGAACGAAATAGTTTAGCTTTCGTTGTAGTGTTATGATAACCGTTTATCCACTCATAATTCAACTAGTTTTTACAGTTCGGTTGGATATGATACTTGTCAGAAAGATGTCAATGTAGTTCCTAAATTACTTAATAAGTTTACGTATAGAAGTGGCCTATTTAAACGTTAAAAGCCAACATATGAAATCAGTATACATACTGCAGGTGTTCTTATCAATCAGCATCACTGGTGACATTTGGCTACAGTGACACACCAGGAAATTAAAGATTACATATAAGTTATGCCATTTTACGTTGATTGTACATCTATATATATAAACAACAACCTGAAGCTATGTAGCTTACAATCCTTGTATTGATGGACTTTTATATATATAACGCTGCCAATGATATTTGTATTTTTATGTTTGATTAATGGGTTAAGTGATCTCTGAATTTAAAGTAGTGGAAAAATTATTGCGTCACCAACTTTTTTTCTCACTGTTCTTGGTTCCTGTAATTTTTTACGAGATCATGTATGGTGGAAGTGTCAGAACCAGAGTAAAAAAGTTATGGACATTTATTAACAAACCAACCGTGACAAACATATTACAGCAGATGATCAACAACTACTTGGCAAATACGAAAATGTTCTCGGTGTAAGAAAACCTAGATTTAAAATTAACACCACTAACGTAATTGGCAAAAAGTGGTCACAGAGTCTGTTTCTTGTTTTAATACTTGGTTGTGCCCCCTCTGGCCTTGATAACTTTTTGACATCGCCGTGACATAGAGTGAAAGAGGGGGCTGAATATAAGCAGGGGTGAGTTCATGATGCTTCATGTTGATTAGGGCTTCCTGTAGTTCGAAGGTGCTTCTCGGTTTATTCTCTTGCACTTTGATACTTGTTACCGTCCAGCAGTTTTCGATAGGATTTGAGATCTGGGCTGTTGACTGACCATCGTAGTGTCTTGATCCTCTTTCTCCGAAGATATTCCTTCACATGAAGCAATAAAATGAAAGCTAAGATGTGTTTTCGATACACACAGAGAGTCAATATTCTTCTTTATTTTACGTCTACTGCATTAAGTGCACGAAGATTACCAACCTTTTTAGTCTTGTGGCATGGAGTAGAGTCACCTTGGAATGTTCACTGGTCAGTTCCACCGAAATGATCCCTAACTGTTGGCTTTAACTGGGACTCGACCATCTCGATGTACTTTGCGGCACTGAACAGCGCCTTTCATAAAATGCATTCATCCCACACCTTGGCTAGAGATGTATCCCAATATCACTTGACTCTGTGGATGTTACACGGTTATATTTAAACGGGATGTGCATCCCAATATCACTTGACTCTGTGGATGTTTCACGGTTATATTTAAACGGGCTGGATGAAACTCTTCTTCACATCGACATCATACAAAGTACTTCCTATCAGACCCGAGCAGGTTAAACTTTGATTCGTCTGAGAAGATCACTTAGCTCCACATTGCTTCAGTCTATTCAACATGCTCTTTTGGCTCATTTGAGCCTCATCTTGTTGGTTAGAATGGGTTTTTTTGTTTTGGCCATCTTACTGGAAGATCAGCTGAACACAGGCGAGATCGGACGGTGTGCGTTGTGACAGTGATCCCTGAAGTTTCCTGAATTACTTTTTTTACATCTGTGGATTGAAGGTTCATGCGTTTCAGAATACGATTGTCAGCTAGTGTGAAAGCTTTCTTCCCACTCCTTCCCTTCTCCTGGTCCACAAAACGAGTCTCGCTATACGTCTGCCCCCATTGGCTCACAGTATACAGTGTAAATTTAATTATTCTAGCAATCTGACTCGTTGAAAGTCCCTCTTTGCTCAAATAAATGAAGTCTGTTTTTTAGGTGGAGTTAACTCGTAACACTTGGCCATTGTAGCATCACATGCACTTTGTAACAGATAGGCTTCTAAACTGACTCTAGGTAAGAAATTCTATTTATAGATCAAAACTTCTGGTGCAGATACCCTATAAAGCTGCTGATGTAATAATTAGACAGTATTGCATCATCCATGAAACACATTTGCATCCACATGTATTAGACTCTCGAAACATATGATGATTTTGAATGAAAATGTGAACAAATTGGATGATGAAATAAATGTTTCCGCCATTGTATTAGGTCGTAGAAAATTAATGTCGCTTTTTTTAGATGAAC